AGCCATCCCCATCATCCCCGGCTGTGCTGGAGGGGTCCCCGGTTGTCACTGGACGCCAGAGCACCCTACGGCAGGGACGGAGCCGGGCAGAGCCCCCTTGGCCACGTCCTCGCTGCAGCCCCGCATGCCCCAGCGTGGGGGTCTCCCCACCTCCCAGTCTCCCTGCCCCTCCAGCTGGGAGGGGACAAAAACTCTCTGCTGGGTTATTAGCTAAGCCAGCACCCGGGGTTAATTATTCATGAGAGAGAGGTTAATTATAACACCAGTGACCTGATTCGGTGTTGCGGTAGAGGTGTTTTGTGCTGCTTGGAGTTGTCCTGGACAACAACCTTGGCTTTCCTGAAGCCAGGAGCTGGGTGTGCTGAGGAGCCATCCGAGCTGCTGACAGTCTGGGGGCTTCGCTCCCTTCTTGGTCTGTCTCTTACTGTGGGTGTAGTTTTTCCCCTCCATTTCTTAGCCAAGGAACTCCCGTGAAGTAACTAAAAACCACAGGCTGTGTGTTACAGCAAGGCTCGGATGGGGTTTGTGTTGCTGATGGGGCTGGGGAGGGCAGGACGCGACCCACTGGAGAAAGCGGCCGCACAGGTAAAACTGCAAATATCTGACCATTTGCACATGGTGCTGAGATGCCTCGCTGGCTTTTTTGTGTGTGCATAGTCCTAAAACCGCAAAACCTGGAGATCCCCAGGGGATGCTGGCAGGTCTGGCTGTGCCCGGCGGGGGTCCCCGGTCCCCCGCTGCAGCATCTCTGCTGTCCTGGAGTGTCTGCGGCCTCTCCCCACCACTGAAATCAAACCAGTGCAATGAAAAGGGGGGGGTGTGGGGACCCAGCGTGCTTTGGATCTGCTTATAGCCATCTGCCTTGCTGTAATTAGAATGAAAACCTGTATTTTGTATCAAGAAACGGCTTGCATCAATCCAACCAGCTAGCAGTGGCATGCAAGTATTGGAGAAGAAAGGGAAGGACAAATAGCTCTGAGTGTGGCTTTGAAAGACAAGCAAAACAGTTAAAATACTTCTTTTTTCCTAAATGAAACTGTACCCGCTGCCCTTAGAGTGCTGTTTCCTGAAGCGCCAGCGCAGCCAGTTCCTGGCACAGAGATGCTCTTCTCGGGGCGGCTCCTGACCGTAAGTGAAGGTCAGGGCTCAGCGGCCGCCCCACTCATGCTGCTGCCGGCCCCGGCGTGGGAATCGCAGCTCCTGGGGGGAAAAGGCTGTTTTGCCATCTGCCATGCCGTCCTCCCGCGCTGCGGCACGTCTGCCTCAGCCACGGGGAGCCCGATGAGCAGCTCATAGCCCCGTGCTGGTGGGATGGCGGGATCCGAGCTCGGAGGATGCTGTGTGGCTGATGGTGTTAGAGCTGTAAGGGACAACGGCGTTTACTCTGGAGCGGAAGGAGGGATGGACCCTGATAGCCAAAGGTGCTGCTCAGGGGTTGCAGGTCCCCCTGGAGCAGTGTGCCTTTGCAGGGGTAGGCTAATGCAAGGAAGCACACGCAGAGCGGTTGCAGCAGAATACATCCGCTAATGCCATTTAGCACTCGGCCTCCCTAAAGCACAAAAAAGCCTGAATACGCCCTGCTAGGGCTGGTATGAGCTTTGCGTCGAGACCGTGTGGGTTTCGAAGCAGTGACTTTTTCCCCCCTGGATGGGGAGCCCGGGTGCTCCTTCAGGGCAGGGGCTGGATCTGGACGTCCACGCTTCAGATCAGCCTGACTTTGTAAAGCCACCGCAGGAGTCCTGCCTCCACTGCTGGTTTCTACTCCTCCGGGAGCGATGACCTGTCTGAGCTGAGGACGGTGGGCCTTCGGGGATGCAGGGAGGGTGGTTGCTGCTGCGCAAAGGTAACAGAATGACAGGGCAGCCGGGAGAAGTTGTTAAAACAAGATGGACATACCTCTTTATTGCAAATTCCAAAGTAAAAAGATGTACAGTACAAAGGAACTCAAAGTTCAGCCATCAAACTCCCAGCCTGCTGTTTTGTCACGTTCCTCCTCCCTCCCTCCCCCGGCCAGCTTCATCCCCCTCCTTTCCTCATGTAAAACAGAACCGAGAATAAAACCTAGGAGCGAAAGTGGGGAGCAAGTACAGCACGGGGAAAAAAAGAACCAGTGTTGTGAACAGGTTATGCAAAGTGGAAGGCCAGCTCTGGCCCCGATGGGAAGGTGGGCGGCTGGAGCCGTGCAGTTCAGGATGTTTGTAGCAGCATTTTTGTCACACACACACAAACACACCCCCCCCCCCCCCCGGCGGGCGCCTCGGTGCCTCCGATTCTCGATGCGTTACACTCGGTCGCTAATTAAGCCTCACAACACCCCTGTGAGGTAGGGAACGAGACACCCAATTTACAGATGGGTAGAACTGGGACAGGCGGCAGGCGGGAGTCCTCCTTCCCTGTGCCCTGCGCCGAGCACGAGGCTGCACTTTTACCGTAGGAGACACCCTCATGCACACACACGTCTCTCTAAAATTACAGCATGCAGCAAACTGGCAAAGGGGAAACGATTTTTGCTTGACTTTACTAATTTTAAAAAAAATCAAACCAGTGGGGGTGTCTTTGTGTGACACATCGACCCGGTGAGGTGCAGGACAGCACAGCCACGCTCTGTGTCTTGCAGTGCCAGTGGTTTGCTAAGCTAGCCGGCCTTAACCGAGCAGCAAAATCCACCTTTGTTGAATAAATTGGAGCAAAACTCTAATAGGAAAAATAATTTCAAAGTGATACCTTGGCCATTTGACTTGCAACAACTTCAGGTTAAATCCTGCCCTCCAGCGAGGCAGAGGCAATACCTGGAGCTCGTGTCCTGCTCAGCCCTTTGGGTCAAAAGTAGGAGAAGCTGGACAGGACGATGGGCTGATGGCGTACAGGTCACCTTCACCCAATTTAGGGCCCCTCAGCAACACTGAGCAGCAGGACCCCCGTGCTTTGGGAGCACGGGGGCTTGTGCCCCAAGCGTGGGTAAGGTCCCCACTGACCAGCCCTTGCCACTGCACATGGGACCCCACTGGCTACGTATCGAGTCTGGAGAAAGCAAGCTGCGAACAGGGACGTGAAGTTGCCGCCTTGCAGTGACGTGCTCAAGCGAGGGTTGCAGCCGGAGGCCCCCCCAGCACTGTCCATGCACGGGAGCTGCCGGCTCCCGACCTGCCCTGACGTTGCATGGCCAAGGGCAGGCGGCTGCTGGGGAACAGCTCGCTGGCGACTCTAGATCTGCTTTGGCTCGTCTTTTTAAGTGACTTTTAGTGCAAGTGATAGGGGTTGCAGGGTTAAGCACCGCAGAGCGAAGTCCTCCCTCGCCAGAGCAGGTCCAACGTGGGCAGCAGCAGCAGAGCCGTCCTTTGTGCGTGGAGCAAGGGATGTGGTCCGGGTCACGCTGCTGCAGGTCCCGCTCGACCTGCCAAAGGGCACCTACCTGCCCCAGAGACAGGAGCCCCCCGCAGACACTGACCCCCCGACAGCATCGGTCCCCACGGACCCAGCGCGGGCAGCTCAGGACGGAGAGCAAGGCTGAGCCGTGTCCTCCAGGCACCCGTGGAGCCCCAACACCAAACACCACACCAAACTCCCTTCCAACAGCTTCTCCTGCAACTTACTCTGCTCTCTTCTGCATGCTTTAGATAAAACCACGCTAAAACAGCCTTGAAAGAAGTATGGAGGAGGTGGAGGGGAAGGAGAATGCAACCAGTCAAATAATTGGGACACCAAGACAACCTTACCTTGTACAGTGAAAAGGGTAACATTTATTTTATTTTCTTTTGGCTTATAGTAACGTAATTGTTAATCATGTTGGGTAAGATCATTATGAGCCACCATGCAATTTCTAATACACTAATCTTCACTATTGATCTTGTACAGCTTTAACATTTTTTTTTATTATTTTTTGCGGCGGAAAATTAAATAATTCAAACTCGGGTGTGGCCTCTATGTAACATCATGGTTTTATTTTAATTTGTTTTGTTCAACATTGGCTTCTATATTTTAAAAAAAGGTGAACAGGAAAAGTGAATAAAGCAGCTTGAATTGGTATTTCTTTATCGCCCTTCCCCTCTGCTCTTTGAAGTCACAAATTAACCCAAAAGGGAGGATTTTGTAAGCGGGGGAGGGAAGAGAGCTACTTGTTGCAGTTTTGATTTTTTGGCTACGTCTGTTTGAATGACACCACCACCCTTGCTTTATTCCCACAACCCTGAATCCGGAATATAAATTCCCTGCACGCGTTTGAATTCGGAGATTTGCGTATGACACGAATGTCCCTAATGCTCTTTGACCACAGTCTCCTCTCTGTCCTTGGCTTCACTCAGTGAAGACGTACAGAAATGCAGAGCCGTTACTGTCAGCACCCGCGAGCTGCGGCTGATGGAAATATCTGCCCTGGGGAGGAAACCGAGAGAGAAAAACAAACAAACAAACAAAAAAAGGGTATCTCTTGAGGTGCTCCAGTGATATGCAGGCAAAAAACTTTGGAGGAAAAGCAAAAATGCTCCCAATTATATGTTAGCACCAAAGATACCTTTAGTTGAAAAACACAGTAAGCAAACAAATCTGGGTGAAATATCACCATACAGATTTCTTAACCAATTACTTAAAAGGAACCATGCAAAAGATATTAAAAATAAAACCAACATGAAAATGGCATTAGACAGTAAGAAAGTGGCTGTGATGTGACTAAGTGCAGTTTGGATAGCTTGCTACTCATTTATCACAATCTGAAAGCCATCTCTTTGATACTGATCAAAACATCCTAAGCACCACATCATCGCAGCTTAAGAGATCCAACAGCTTAGAAAGCCGAGGTAGAGCATTCTTTATGCATTTGTCTACAAGGATTCACTCCTCAGAATAAGTTTTTTTGGTGGGCCTTTTATATTTACTAAATAATAACTGTGACTGCGTAAAACTCCACAGTGTAACCTATCTATACTGGAATACTTTAAAATACACTGATGTGTACAGTTCTGAAATACATTAGAAAAAAGAGAAATTGAAAATTTCATTGTGTTTACTTTGTAGTCAGACCTCAGAATACAAAAGAAAAAATTAGTAGGAGGCAAAATGAATTGCTACGTAAAGAAAATAACTGTAAAATACTTACAGTCTGCATTTTTCAGTGACTGTTTCTTTTTAGAAGGTTTCGAGATGACTTTGATCCGTTTACTGAGGAACACACCGATGTCGTCACTATTGCCATAGAACATTTTTACCGATAACATGAAGTGCTTTCTCTTGTCTGAGTCTGATATGTATAACGTTTTGGCAGTGCAATAATTCTGTAGGTGAAAACATACTGTTGTTTCTTCTTTCAAGTCAGCCCAGTTCAAGAAACTATGTATATTTAATTATTAACAAAATAGGAAAACTGATGTAATAGTTTCTAAAACAGATCAGAAACCGCTTTTTCTCTCTCTTCCGTATGGATATCATTTATGACTACTGTTTAGCTTTGTGAAGTTTAGCACCCGACTTCAGTACTTTAGCATCTTTCTAAAGACCCTTACCAGGACTGGGAAACAGATGATTAGAGACTGTAGCTGTGTCAAAGCCATCTCTGAGTGGTTAAGAGCACTACTAAAAATTACATTTGAGTAGAGCTATGCAGGTAGCACACTGGGCATTCACAAGAGGCTGCCTGTGCAGAAAATGTGTTGAGCCAAACTTTTCTTGAAAGGATGGGAGACGACTGGGTTTTGAAACACTAGGAAGTTACTTTTGGCTAAGTGTTTACGGTAGGTGACAAGAGGAGCTTAAAAAAAAAAAACTCAAAAAGAACTTTTATTATTCTTTTTCTATTCAGCAACATATGAAGCGTTTCTAAGTAGACTGTGCTGGAAATACTAGGTAGCTGTAAAATGCTGCTTAATAAAACAACGAGCTAAAATGAGCACTCACGTGCTGCCAGTTCTATTCCAACTGTTTAAGTCATCACAAGTATCTTGAAAAAAATCTTGTAGCAATTTATATCACTGTAAAAAAATAACCTACTAAATGTATTAAGATGCTATTTTAATTGTATTTTTATGCAAAGGGACTTAAAGACCACTTCTAGCAGCAGATGTTGTTCAGATACTTCCTTGATGAGATTATCCATTCATGCAAGCCAGGGAGAGGGACACAGAGTTTGGGCCAGAAACCTTACTTCAGTTAACCACTGATGCCTACCAAGTCACCTAACAGTTTACTGACTCTGAATCAACAACCTACTAATGAAAGGTTAGTACCCTGCTATGATCCCATGAACCAAATCCACCTATTCAATTGTCCTACATATTTTTGAGGGATTTTTTTAAACCACTTATGTAATACCTGCTAAGTGTAACAAAAGTTATCAAAAATAAGCAAGGGCATTTCTTAAAATATGCACCACGTAGCTATAATAATATCCTTTGCAGTAATCCGAGTGGTTTATTACAATTCTTCTACCTTTCCTTCCAAGTTGAGCTGCTGCATTTCTTGGTCACTGTTTCCTATTCCAATGAAGGCGCAAGGTTGTGACTCTTGCTCAGTGCAACCATCCCGTTCCATTTGCTCTTTTTTTTTCTTCCATCCACTGCCCATAAGATACACACATGGAGGAGGACAAAAGAACCTGAAAATGAAAAATGCATTACGAGATTACACACAGCTTTCAAGAAAATTCTTGAGACAGCAACTGTTGTGTACCCAAAACTTTCTCAGCCCATTCACACTTTGCATTAGAGTTTATACATGCATGCCCTTCATTTGCATTGAAGATTTTCTAAAATGCAAATCAAAAAAAAGAGAAAAAGCAAGGAAAATCATCATTAGTTGCACTGTCACTGAGTATCTTTCCAGTTCAATATATGATAGGTAACAGTCTGCACCCCTATAAAACCAAAACGCTTTCTACCCTTACAAAGAGATTCTCAAAGAAAGTAAAAGGGCCTTGAAAGGGATGAGAGTGTTTTGCTTTTGTAGGTGCTTAACATGATGCAGCAATTAATACACACAGAACAGTTCCACAAACTAATTTAATGGACAACTGCTGACTATAATTCCTAAACATTTAGTGTTTCATCATTAGCAAGGAGGGAGTCTATTCTGTACAAGCATAAATCTCTTCTGTTTTTAAATGGAATAGATGATTTTACATCTTCGTTGGTAACTGTAAAAGGTATGATCTAGTCTTTAGCAGCACTGACTGAAATCAGTCTAGATGCTACTTACAACATGTTCAAAATTAAATGCAGCATTATTATACAATGTATTGGTCTTGAAGTTTCTGCAAATTGTTAAAACACAAATCCTAATCACTTTTGGTTTTAGTTTAGCCAACAGCTGCAGTGTTTTTATCATCATTTAGTTAAGATCAAAGGTAAAAAAGCAGAATGAGTAGATCCAGTTGTGAGGTAGCTAAAGAGGCACAAAGGGAGAGAATAACTGAAAAAGTTTTTAATTATTCCATTTATTTCAAATTGGAGAGTAGTGCTTAACTTGACGCTCCCGAAATCCAAAGACGACTCCTACCTTATACAGGTAGGTAGGATTTTTTTTTTTTTTTTAAATTTGGCTTGGGACAACTGAATTCATGGATTATTTCTATTAAACACCATATAAACCTCAATTAGTGGAAGTCAGCTTTAGTATGAAAATCAAGTCTAATACACTTCTTTATCTCACCTATTCAGCAAAATTACCTTTAAGATATAAAATGCTTTTCTAAGTAACAGAATTCTTAATAAATGAAACCAAAGTCCTGAGATAATACTCACATAATAGTAAAACGCAAATATTAAGAATCCATATAAATAAATGCAAAGATTTGTAATCATTTCAGTTAATGCACACAATTAATGTATATTGTTAGAGAAACAACCAAATTTTAAGTTTTACTGCAATTCAAAATGTCTCAGTAGTTATAAGAAGAAAAAAATTACCCCCTGCAGGCAAAAAAAAAAAAAACACCACCACAAACTTTCTGTCTTGCCAATAAATCCACAGTGAAAATTTTTCACTTAATTTCACTCTTTTACAACAAAACTGATGATATACCAATATGCATGCAGCTTAAATATCTATGAATGTCTTTCAAAAGTATCATGCTCTGGTTTGAAAGAAAGACTGCCTACAAAAGAGAATTTGTAGAAAGCAGCTCACTACATGACATCAAAAGATCTGCACGATTGAGAAGCACATTAATTTGTGAAACTGCTCCTACAGATTAATAATTCTAAACAAATAAAAACAAATGCTAAATTTCCTCCATTATGACAATCCATTTCAGCAAAGACTTATCATAGCAATTATTTGCTGCTTTTATTGCCTTCACACTGTTCTCAAACATAGAAATTTTGATAAATATGGAATTATGAGTTAACAGAAAGCCACTTGTAAAAGCAAACTATTCAAAGTTTAACAACTAACATTTTTTCATGTGCTTATTGCATCAGTTTTAACTACTTATGTTTTATTCTTTGGGGTAATTATGGGTCATATGAAGGCTCTGGAATTTTTTTTCTTCCAATTGAAAATGTAGAACACAGAGAACCAAGGCAACAGGTAGAAACTTGCCAATTTGCAAAGCAGATGTTTCCTGATGGAACTGTCAACTTGAGAAACTACACAATAAACTACCTCAAAAATAAAATGTAACACTTTTGCAGTAGCAGCACAAGAGAATACTTCCACTAGCCCAGCCAGGAATCATAAAGCTGAAATCTATAGTTATCTGACATTAGAATGGGTTATTGCAGTTTTATTGCTGTAAGAACAGAAGTTCTGAAATTTGAAAATCACCATGAATAGAAAGAGTAAGCAGTAATAAATGTTATCAAACAGCTCACACTGTGTATCCCCTTTTTGCTTGCTATTCTGCTTTTTGCTTCTTATCTTCTGCTACCTGACCTCTGTTCCAGCTTTCTTCATGAAGATGCTGAATGATGCAGTAGGGTTATATTTAAGAACACCGTGAGTTTCTGTTACATGCCAATTAAGTCCTCCTCTTCCTACTACAAATTCTTGATCTCAAAACCAGGAATGCATTTCCTACTTTTCAATTGCATTTGTTTCAAACATTACATCAGCACAGATGACATGACCTAATTTCCCTCAAATGCTTCTCTATCCTAAAGGAAAAATGATCTTAAGAGGACTTACGTTTGCAAGGGAGACAGTGCAACGACAATGGTCAAAATCATAAAATTCATACTAGTGCATAGGTGCATGTTCACTTTCTACATGACTGATCTAATTTATATATCCTATACCACCCCACATCTAGATGTAAATACCATAATTGTTGTTAAAAATCTATTCTGAGGCTCATCTACCTCATTGCTGCAACTTTCGGCATGTTTTAGGAAAACAGAAAATCAAAACAAAGCAAGAAATAACAGCTTTAGCATTACACTGAGAAAATTTCTACTGTAGACAATTGTGATCACATTTTAAAAAATTATTATAGATGCACACACATATATATATGTGGGTAGAAAGGAAGCAAGAGGATAAGAAAGAGTCACATTTTTATTAGACTGGCAAGGGGTCAAGCGAGGGCAATGATCATCCCCAAGTACTGTTTTTAGGAGGCCTACTCTACTTTGCCATCCCAGATAGAGGACCACCATCACGTTTCCCCTATGAACAATACTTTTCAAATGGGGGTTATGAACTAACTCCAAGGTTAGGAAATGCAATTTTTTGGAGAAGAAACTTCAAGTAACAGATGCATTTATTCAAGAGTTGATCTTTTGCCAGAAAAAGCACACCACTATCTAGTCAGCTTTTGAACTGTCAAACTCAAATGACAATACAAGATCCTTTCAGTGTTAATGGATGTATCCCACTAATTTTCTTCTCAACAATTATAAGGTATTTCCAATAAAGAAATTATACAGAGACTAAAAATTGATATCAAACTTTATTAATGGAGCAATGCTTTGCAAAAAAGAAACCAAACCCCTTGTATTCCAAGTACGTATAACACCATAAAGCAGACATCACACATTTACCTTTCTTCCTCATGTACTCTTTCTTATTTATCTTACTGGTTAGAACACAAGAAAAAAATCCCAAACTTTTTTCGTAACCTTTTTCATTCCAGTTTTATTCTAAACCAAGTCCTTTGAATAACTGTGGCCACTAGATGGCAATGAAGACCTATAAGAAGCAAGTTTTAACCCACTGATGACGAGGAAACAAGCCACAATAATTAAAGCACTCTTTTTAAATTAGAGCACAGAGAAAAACCTTGGAAAACTGACTTACTGAACAAAGAAAGAAACTTTTGAAGCTGAGACAATTTTAAGTTTGGTTAAAACTACCAAACAAGAAGAAAGAGTCTGGACATTCACAATTTGAATGGGTTTTCTTTATGTGTCAGCCTCTAACTCACCCTTCAGATATAGACAAGTACAGTCTGGGGGCTTTTTACCTCGTATTTACAATCCCAGGAACTTATGTATAGAAGAGATTAACTATAAATTTTCTATCCAATATAGTGTGAGTAAACCATGAGTATCCTCATATTTCTAATTTTCACAGACGGTTAAAGAAAGTATTTTTGATATGTATAAAATCAGTGCTGGAAACAGGTTCTCTCATTAATAAAACATTTCCAATGTAAATAGAAACATAAATGTTTATGTAAGAGGCTGGCTTTCAGATCACTATAAAGAGGAAAAGAGAGAAAGAAAATCGCCTCCCCAAAATAAGTAAAGTAATTGAGGTAAAGTAATTTCCAGTATTAGTGATAGGAAATAAGGTAGGACAAAGTTTGGTGGAACAAATGAAAATACTCTTCCTTCGACCTTTGATTTACAGGGCCTACCTCTCTTTTTTCTTTAACCACAAAACTAAAGTAAGACTGAGTAGGAGGTAAAAATTCTTCTGAAGTATTAATCTGACCTATAGTAAAAAGAAAATTATGTTGGAGGGAAAGGCAGCTGTGTCTGGTTCTTCTGAGCTTGTTCAGAATTTTCAGTACAAGAAGTAATGGTGGAAAATCATGTAGGATGCAATTTCCTCACTGGATTTATAACATATTCTTTTAATACCTCTTCTCTATGCCATGAGCAGACTGGCAATTCCTTGCTGAATGAGCAGTAAAACAACACAGGACATTCTTCCGTGAGGTAAACACCTAACAACTTAATCTAAAAAACACATGAGATCTGTTAGGGATCAAGTCTGCGAGCTCTTTCATTACTGGAAGTATAACAACCAGGAATGTCTTTCCTGGACAAAACCTATTCCACACTTGTTAGAGCTGCATGACAAGATGCAGATTCAGTGCTTCCTACTTGCTGATATAAAGCACAGTGACTGAACCAGGGTAACATTTTGGGATACCAGGTGTCTGCAAATACTTCACGTATTTAACACATCTCTGCAACATTTTGTTGCGGACTCCTAGTTTCTCAGAAGAGTCTCTCTGTGATGCTCCTCCTATGCACCTTCCAAGAATTTGTGATCAGTGTAATTAAAACAATGGGCAGTTTTAAATGAAGCTAACATTGGGACTGATACTAGCCAGGAAAGGTCAGAGGATCAATCTCCAAAAAGTAATGTGCCTTCTTACACTAAAATTTCATGGGCCGCTCAAGTGAGGAAAGACCATAGTATTACCAACCTCACGTTAGACTCCAGGCTCAGTAACTCAGTACAGCAAACAGAAGCAAGCTGTTATTCATCTGTTCTGACAAATCTGTTCCATCAGACCAACTGGTAACTGAAGGTTTTTCCATGGCAAGAAAACCAAGCTGAGATTTGTCTAATGATGCTCCCCTTTATTCCAAATGACTTGAAGGGAAGAACAAGATAATTTCTAGTGGTTTCTGAGTCTTGACTGCAACAACAGAAAGTGGAAAGTTGAGTCTTTGGCACCACCTGGAATATTGTTTTAAATCAGACAATCACCAAAGGAGAGAACAATATGCCTTCAATTCCTTCAGTCCCTTCAGTCAATTCAGGCCAATCAATACAGAGAAAATATGGTACTTCAAGCAGAGAAGCTACCCTAATTGAACTTGCCAGGAAGCAAGGAGTAGAAAGTAAAATAAAATCAGCTCATGTCATTGCTGCCTAGTTCTGATGCATTCAATGCTTTTTTAAACCACAGGCTTCTGTTCACAAAGGTTTACTTTTTCAAATCATCCAAGTCATCCCTGTGTTCATCTTACAGAAGTCTTTGCCTTCAGGAGGATTTAGAGGTGTCTACCAGCTGGTTTTATGTTCAAAGTGACCTTAGCAGGGAAGTTTTTCCTTTGTACCTGTTGGTCAATTCCGAGTCGGTCAAGGCAGGAGGTGTGTTTGTCAATTACGCACATTGTTCTGAGCATGAAACTATGCGCAGTCTTCTGTCCTTCTTAGGAGCTGAAAGAACTAACAATATCCACTAAAGAATTCAATACAACAACAAATAAATGAAAAATCATTAGGTGTTAGGGTGCTAAGGATGAAGTAGTAGAGTCATGGGGTAGGCCCTGGAAAAGGCTATGCTCTCAATAACAAGAGCATTAACCAGAGGGCAGGCATGCTCAGTTCAGTGAAGGGAAGTATTTGAGCAGAAAGTATAGGAGCTCCTTCACTAATAGCTGTAAAACAAGACACAGCTAGACCACTCTCAGGCTAATCAGTAGTGATAACGTTTAAACTCAGAACAGCATGTAATCCACAAATACCAATCTGGCTCACAGTCTTTGATGAACTATGTCTTGGAATCCAAAACACTTCAGTCCTTTAAACTGTTGAATGTTCACACTGTTCAGACTCTGAAGAGAGAAGTCCCAGTGAATGGTAAATATAGAAAAAATACAAGAAGCACAAGCCAAACACCCACGCTCATCAGGACTAAACATCACCTGAGTCTCTATCAGCTGAATGCCTTTGAAAGATGACAGCCATCCAAAGGGAAACATTAGGCAAAAAGTCTTAAATTCAACTAAAGTCCATCCCTGAGCTTCTTAACTCCTGGCTTCTTTGTTAAACTAAACAACATTAACTTTGGGAAGAGCAAGGCTAATAAGAAGAGTCCACTCAAAAAAGAAAGAAGCCTCCTTTAATTAACGTTATTTAGGGACAAGTATCAAGAACGTGCTCAGATTAACCCAGAAAGTCTCCATCCACATGGCAACAACCTGGAATTGTGTTTCTGGGAGGCCTATTTAAACCAGACCACACTACGTGAGATCTGCGTCGTCTACGGTGCATTTTCAACAGAGTATTTCACTATCTACTAAGCCTCGTCAAAACACTGAAAGGTACTTATTGTGCTAACCTTTTAATTATGCCATGCAAAGTTTATTAATGATAAATATTTTCCATGACCTCACAACAGACAAGGTTTAAAGACTGGAACAAAAGGTGGAAGTTTGTTTAGGGTTTTTTTAGGTTCTATATTTACTTGAAAGACATGTCAAATCTAAGAAATAATTCCTTTTGTAACTTGAATTCTTAGTTACAAACATAATGCTATTTAACTTATTCTTTATGGATCAAAAATTAACCAATTATATCCATGCCATAATGAAGTCCCATGGAAAACATGAAATTTCTCCATAAAAACAGTATGAAATAGGTTTCTGTCTATAAAGCAAAACAACTCACTTCAGAAATGGTATTTAATGTAAAAATGGTGGAAATGTGATTGACCAGTGGCATAAAGCAGCCTTAAAGCTTTACTAATTTTGCTCAGTCCAGCAATATGAAGAACCAAAGGGCACGTTCTGCTATGAATAAAACAGAAGCAATTAAAAAAACTAAAAAAAAAAAAAGCAAGCTAATTCATTATTCAGTTTCACTAAGTACCTTAGGGCACACATGGATCCAAGGATTTAATAAATGGCATTTTTCTGTACGCTGATAACAACAGGACATCATTACTGATGCTAACAGTCTGGGAACTAGCAGAACAGTACCAGACAGTCTAAATGGTGCATTAAAACGTAAGAAAAACTAAAATATTTAAACTGAAAAATGAAATCTTAATATGTATTCCAAACTTTCATTTCATACCCGTATCAGAATGACAATCACTTCACCATCATATTATTTTATAACAAACATCCAATCATTTTCATTCTTAGTCGTCTTTTGCAAAGCTCTGAAATTCTCTACACTTATTTGACATGCTTCAATTTTTAAAGAGGTGAATCTGAGACACCTTTCATGAACAAATGCAGCTGTGCTGAGATAGGCAACTCAACTGCACCTCACAAAATCTGAAGTGGTAAAAGAATGCCTAATTCCAGTTAGCAATCATTTCAAGCAGTGAGAAACCAGTGACTAGTTTACCGAACATTACCAGTACTTAGGTAACATTGTGCCACCGTGACTTTAACAGCATCAAGTGAAATATACACAAATATTTTCAAGGCAACAGGAATTTATGGCAATGCTATGAAACACACATAGGAGCTTTCAGAAACTGTTAGCAAATAACAATTTGAAGCTTTGCCCTGTATTCTTCAGAACAATTATGTAAGTTTTCCAAACAGTAATGGAACTTTTATTAATCAAAATTACATACTTTATCTTTTTATTTTCTCCCTTCTTTTGATGCAATTTGTTCTCCAAAATGATGATACACAGGACAGCTTTGCAAAATATTCCTCCCCTCATGAACTACTCTGGCCCCAGGAGAACAAACCAACTGAAGTTACAGATAGACTGTTTAGAAAGTCACTTTCTTGTCTTCAGGCACACCCCTCATTTTTTGGGAGTAATATGCTTAACTCATCTGCAGTGATGAGAGACTCATCATCTGCAGTGATGAGTTAACTATGCAACTCTTGAATGACAATACAATCTGAGAAGATAACAATCAGAGGTCCCTACGTTGTCATGATAAATCTTTTTGGCTGTTGAGTTTGCTGCAAACGGTTAAAGTTGTCATTTACTGCTAGTAAGGCCTTGCATTGCAACCCTTTTGCATTTCAGCGTGGCAGTGAGCAAGAGGGCTGTACAGTTATATAGCAGATACACAGCATACTTGTCTGCTTCTGTGTTTCAGAAAGATCTAAAAAGCACTTTGAGTAAACAATTCCATGGAGCTGCAGAACCTGGACGCTGCCCAAAAGAAAGGACTTGAGACACTGGCTAACAGAAAAGACGACACATATTGGAAGACAAGTACTCAGGCACAGAATACTGAAGAACAGTTGAAAATATAGTCTGCATCTCTGTGATTCACAGACATCAGAAGTGTGATTTAGATTGGCAGCAACGAACTGAGAACTTTGCAGGCTTAATTCTAACATTCCTGTTTTCTAACACTTTCATACATAAATATGTTAAAATTTCAAACGTCAGAAAACTGTGAAAAACATAATGATGTAACAGGACTTACACAACAGTGGTGAAAGAAAGGTTAAAACTTCAAAACCATTAATGTGCTTAATATGTGGTCTTTTGTGGTGAACAAATATTAATAATACAAAGTATCTGAAAACTAACCAAATACTGCACTATTTATTTTAGTGAAATTTAAGGTAGGAAAGTATCATTTATACTTAAAGAAAATTCTATTTCATCATGAGAGGACTAGAAATCTGCATATGAAGGACCACCCTACTTGCTTCTACACTAGTCATGCAATAAAAACATCACGTAGAGAAGACTGCAGGAAATTCACCTTTGCCTAACATGCATTCATCCTCACGTCTCCCTGTAGATTCTGTCCCTTAGAAAACTACCTATTATTGTAACTTGTACTGTATTGATTTTTACGAGAGAATGTTTATCATAAATATGGTTATGATTGGCCTGTCATTCTTTTTAAAGCTATTACAGATCTGATTCAGAAAAGTCTCTTACTGAGTCTAGCAATTTCCCTTTCATATTAATTTTAAATTACTCAGGAAAAAACTCCTCTACAAGTAGTCACCATTAATCACCTTGTTTACTTCAGACTTAAAATGGAAGGTTTAAAATTTGAGCCATTTTAGGTCAATGGAAGAAAAACTTCACCCACAGATACAGAACCTGTTGGTAGAAACAGGCATCACTACATTGAATGCCACAGGTTTACAGCATTTGTTACATAATTAAATGATTTACAAGAACACACTTTGTTTTATGTTTCTTCAGAATATAGTACAATCTCAGGAATTCTGCAATGTACTATGTACCAGACGACACACTATAGTTTCCCCAGCTGGGATCTGTAGAGGGAAGCCAGGAAAGAATAGACACTTACCTTTTTTCATTTCCATACGATTTCTGCGCAACTTTCGCATGGAGTATTAGCACTGTTTGATCACCTCGCTCCTTTAGGTAATTTCGCATTGCTTCCCTAAAAATTAAAAGACAAAATAAGCTTTGAAAGTTCTTTTGGTTTTGTTTGTAACTATAATAATCCAAAGACAGCTTTAGGACCAAAAAAACCCCAAAACACCTGAAATTCAAAAAAGGCAACCATTAATAAGGTCAAGAGGAGTTTGTCTTGTTTTTTAAGACAATTACACAGCAAAAAGAAGTAACTATCTTCCATGAAGCTAGCAGTAGGGATCTGTGGTCATTTACAATTACTACATTTTCCAGAAAAAAAGATGCTTGTGATGTAAAATCGTACAAATGCCAATCACTACGCCATGTTCAAAGCCCAATTTTATAAAGTACCATGCCACAAATATTTGATTAGAACACACTTTATTAATTCAATACTGTCTCTTCAGCCAATTTAGTCTCTCATGATAATGACAAGTTGTTCTGAAACTTTGTTTAAGCTATTAACTAAATCAATGCAATGTTTATATAGTTTTCTTTTGGTTGTGAAGATACTAAGAAAAGGTTAAATTCTTCAGCTTATTGTTTGTTGTGGTTTAACCTCAGTCAGCAACTGAGTACCACACAGCCACTTGCTCACTCCCCCCCCACCTCCCCCGGTGGGATGGGGGAGAGAATTGGAAAAGCACAAGTGAGAAAAACTCGTGGGTTGAGATAAAAACAGTTTAATAATTGAAATAAAATAAAATAATAATAATAGTAATAATAAGAATAATATACAAAGCAAGTGATGCACAGTACAATTGCTCACCACCCGCTGACCGATGCCCAGCCAGTCCCTGAGCAGAGGCCCCCCCGGCCAGCTTTCCCCAGTTTATGTACTGAGCATGACGTCACATGGTATGGAATGTCCCTTTGGCCAGTTTGGCTGTGCCCCCTCCCAGCTTCTTGTGCACCTCCAGCCTTCTCAGTCAGTAGGGCATGGGAAGCTGAAAAGTCCTTGACTAGTATAAACACTACCTAACAACAAGTAAAACATCGGTGCGTTATCAACATTGTTCTCATCCTAAATCCAAAACACAGCATTGTACCAGCTACTAGGAAGGAAATCAACTCCATCCTTGCCAAAACCAGGATATGTTTCATCTAGTTTTCTAGAGAAAGCCTCTACTTCCTGCATACAATCAGGTTAAAAAAAAAAAAAAAAATTAGATTTTCTATTGTTCATCATCACTGTAATGACAGACGTCATATAAAAGCTATAATTATCTCAAACACACCAACAGTGATTCCTTGAGAGAAATAAGAGAACAATACACCCTATCATTCTCTGTATAATAATCTAACTGCTCATTAAGCAGCATGCCAAATTCAACACCCTAGGGTTTAGCTGTGTCGGAGTGCTGACAGGAACACTTTTAAGTCCCTGGAGGAGCTTTTGCAGGTTGAACGTCCACCAATGCACTCACTGTCAAAGTCATCAACCAGAGAAACAAATTATGAATTTAACAGGAAGTCATATGAAGAGATGAAACCCTACAGAAGAGGGATTTTTGGAGGTTTTTTTTGTGAACTGCACCCAACTGTTGAATTCCCTTTGAACAGATCTAGAAAACCAAACACTTCCAGTGAAAAAAGATGGAAGATAAAAAGCAGTATTTTGTTGACAAGACCTTTTCCAAAAGAAATCCCCACATATAGTTGCACAGAGGAAAGCGAGCAGATTGGGGGGGGTGGGGTGTGCTGGACAACAATCCAGCTTTGCTAATGATGTTTTGTAAATTCCTGCATTTGCCATGCCTACATAAGACAGTGATGAGTGTGCTAGATTTTCTGTGTAAATAGCAGGATATAAGAGCAGAGAGAAGACTTGAATTACTGTTTTAAATTTGGACTAACTTGATCTATTTACATTTGACATTGGTAAAACTGATGCTTATCCATGAAAGCACAGATGGAAGAACTGTCTTAAAGCGCACAGACTTACTTTATTTACAACCATTGTTTAAGAATATATTTTAAACCACAAAACATAATTCACTGTGAAATTATTATTATACATTTCATTATGATATATATTAGCTGCATTTAAGTGGTTTAAAAACTTTTTATCTGACAATTTGAAATACTCTATTAAGAGTACTGTCATACTAAATTAAGAACATCTGTCACACTAAAAACTTTTGACTTGACTACCATTAAAAAAAACCACTCAAAACCAGCAACCCACGCACAAAAACGCTAGGTGCTATCTAATGTTTATTTAGCATTGTATGAGGAAGAAATTCTGCCTTTTCTACTCATCTGTTGCTACAGTGGACTTGTGCAATCCAAGCTCCTAGGAGAATTAGGAATGTTCCCCTCCAACCCCTCCCACTGATAAAGAAAACACATAACCATTACAATTCTTACACGACATTTTTCATTATTAAATCTTAAAATTCTCCACGAAGGTAGTACTATTACAGTTTACATCTAAAAACAACTAGCACAGTATGAACAAAGTAGTGTTGTTCAGCTGGATCTTGCGTGACAATGAATAGATTATTAGACAAACAGGTCTGCCTTTACACAAAAAATCACAATAATTTTCCAATAATTGAACTAAATGCCTTTAAGCATTTACAGATACATTTTTTAGCATTACATAAACAAATCATACTCTTAAAAATTTGTGTGACGATTTTTTCCATTTCAGCATTTTTCTCTTCAGAGGAAAAGAGTTAGGTTGCTTGTTTCCAGTCTCTATCAGTATAGAAAAGGTTTACAAGCTACTGCTTTGAAGGATGGCTAGCAGTTCCCAGATGCCTGCCCTGTACTCACAGAAAGAGTACCTGGCACATCTAGTAGCTAAAATCCTGCACACAAAATTTAGAGTCACTATAGTTAATAGATAACTTAGTTAAAAGACCTTACACTGATTAGTCATAATTTTATTGTTCTTTTTAAATCACAGAAGAGAAATTCTATCAGTAACTTCAGGGTGATACTAACAGGTGTTACTACTCAAGATGGAAAACAGTTCATTACTTAAAACTTAGTATCTTTAAATATCCCTGAAAATAGGTAGACCAACAGGAAACAGCAATGTTTTTTCAGTTACTTCTAAGTCAGTATAGATCAATTTTGCACTGAAATGACTGCATTTAACAATGACACAAGCTAACCTGAAGCTTATCCAGAAATGCAGAGACAGACAGCCCCAACACAAAATGTAAATACTCTCCTCCATCCCATGCTTTACACGAGGCATCATGATTTCATTCAAAACAGAAGTAGGTCAGAGTGAGAATGGGTTTCCATGTCTTTATACAGCACTATTACCACACAAAACCATAAAAAAATTGCACATCTTTTGTACTTCAAGCAAACAGTGGATTTTAAACTCAGTAGCTACTTATAATTGGCACAGTTTGTGGCACAGAATAACAAATATTTGCATAGACTGTGTTACAACAGTTTGAAAAAAATTGTGACTACTTAACAGCTTCTACTATAAATACTTCCCAGGCAGACCAGGAGCAACTCAGGCACGGTACTCCAGTCACTCTAAACACTTTTCAGAACGGATTGACTTGATGGTACTATTTAATACTATCTCTGACTGTTTAGATTTCACCAAAAATTGGTTAAGATCACTGACAGCACTGTGTTCATTTTGCTCTTACCTGCTGCATGACAGGTAGTAAAAAGTGTTATTTTACATGACCTTACCAGACACTTTTACCCCAGAAAAGAAATCGGCTCATTCCTGGTGATTTACAACTAAGGAGTTTCACATCCTAGTGAATAATATACACTAACTGATATGTGAAGACAATACCATTTTTGAAAAGGCATTCTGAGTATCATATTAAAAACATGCCACTCACTGTTCAAAATTTTACTTCTGGCTGCTGATTTGCATACAATAATTGAAAAGCTCTGATATTTAAAATTCTAGGATTATCAAGCCACAATTTTTTAACTTAGAAATCCTTCTGAGAATGAAAAGGCTAACTTCAGAGAACTGTTAAAAACGTAACTTCTTTACTGCTTACCTGGTGAGCCGTTTCGGTTGAGGTCGCTCTCCAAATTTCCTGAAAAAAGAAGAAGTTGCTAATTTAAAACAAAAGTGTTTAGTCATAATTTTACAGTGAAATACTATTCCAATTTTACAGTTCTTGAAAATGTATTGGAATTTGGTGTCTTTTCTTTGTAATTTCCTAGATAGATTACTATTAAAATATCAACGACCTCCTTGCAACAGCTTTTCCCACAATAGCAGAGGCTTTCTTTATTTGGAACACTAGATGACTTTCTTTGCTAGTCACATTTACTTTCTCTCTGAATCACTTTTGAAAAGTTCAGATATCACAAGTATGTAAATAACCAGAAGATCTTTGCCATAGCATTGACCAGAGGTGCCAACAATTGCTATATGTTAATAACTGCTTTTTAACAGACTTATCTCTGAGTTGACAAATCACAGTGAATGCTTCCCATCAAGAGAATTTATCAGAAATCTGTTTTTCCTTAATGACTTCTTACAAAAAGGATGACAACGTATTTCATACGTGCCAGTACAGAATTATAAGAAAAGTCTCTCTTGTGGAATGTAGCCAAGCATGATCCAGAAATATCCTGCTATACACTTAACATTTTTTAGCCATAAAGTGTTTTGACACAGCTATATTTCTTTCCGTGCTTTAACACTGTTCTTGAGAGACAGTACACTCTTCACACTAGGTTAAGACTTTCCACAGAAGTCTTTATTTACATAAGACAGTGAATTTACACAGGACAGAAACATTTCATTAACAAAAACATTCTCAGATTAAATCAAAATGGTCAGGTAAAAGACCTGAAAAAAGGAAGGCTGTACCCAGCAACGTACATCTGCTCAACCTGGTAAGGAAGTATAACCAGAAGCTAAAATGAGGACACAGAGGGAAGAGAGGGGAGGAGAAAAAAAAACCAAACCAAACCAAAACCACTGAGGCATAAGCGACTGTGCTTCTGCTGCCAGTGTTCATGAATATCTCTATGACTTGCCGAACTCTTTGTTAAGTGGGCATATCTTTCCCTTTATGCTTCCTGGATAATGAAAAAACCCTCCCCTAATACTGCCCTACAACAGTGTTGGAGGCTTCCTAGCACAAGAAGAACTTGATCGTTAAATGACATGACAAGAATTTCCCCTGTTCGTGCAGTGGATCCATCCTGAACTCTACAGGAACTGGTGGTGGAATGATTTGACATATTCCAATTTCATTTAAGTAATTCTAGAAATGTACAAAGTAAAAATACATAGCTATTACCATTTATACAGTTGAGCCGAATAGCACTCTCCTGAAAAGACAGCGACAACAACATGCAGCAAATTTTGAAGTTATTTTTCAAGACTTGAGAAATTAGACTTCTAAAGTACTGGTAGTCCACTCTACGTAGAGGAATTGAATAAACAAGATGAAGCAAAATTATTTTTTTCTGTTTAAACAATGAAATCAAAACTTACTTTTCCGACCAGACATAAGTTCCTTTCACGTTTTACTTTGTTGTTGTTAGTATACTGTTCACTTGTTTGGCTTTGTTTTGACTTTAAATGAAACAATGAAACTAAAATTCTTGCTGCAAGATTTGTTTCTATAGATTTTAGGTTTCGAGGTCTATTGGATACATACTTCATTTATATTTTTCTCTGTGGTATGTACCACTACATTGATATTTGTAATGCCAAAAGGAAACTAGAAAACCCAAACAGCTTTGCAGTTTGGCAGCAGGGAAGTTATATCCCAAAGCCTTTCTGCTTCTACCACTTATCTTTTCAGGATCTGCCTAGCTTCATCTCCCGAGCACGCCCTGTGCCTCTGATTTTCCCTGGATAACAGTGTGAGTAGGTTTGCATATCCCACCCTCCCTCCCCCAGTACTATCTATGCAGTTACTGTTCTCCCCTGAAGACCTAGGATCATTATATCTGGCAGAGGATTCACCTGTCTGTGCCTCACAACTAGACAACAGATTACCTTTAAGCAATACTCTGCAGACAAACAACATCCCTATAGATTAGCTCCCTGATTTTGAGTAGAGCTACAGTCTTTGTTTCAATCTCTCTGCACATTTAAATTCACCGTGAAAAAAATTGAGAGGTGCCTATTTTGGAGCAAAGGAGGCATTAAGCACACCACACTTGCTTGTACTGTGGCCAACAGATCCAGTCCAAGATGAGGACACTAGTATATCAGAAACTGCATTAACACAAAAAACCTCCCAGACAAAATCTTACACTCCCCTAAGGCAACATCTACCCATGCAGAACTCTGGAACGTAGCAGACACATTCCCCTTGCACGTATGCTTATTGCTGCCTAAAAAGAGCTTTATTAACAAGGCATCTACACAAAACAGTTGCAATTACTTAAAGAAATAAAGCCCACCTTTTTCTTCAGTCAATCCTGAACATACAGCAAAGGAAAAAGTACCAAAATCCCCATTCATCAGAGGCAGACCTAAAGCACTGAGTCGCTCTAGAGATGCACAGGGTAAACTCTGATCATCTGATGCTCAGTGCAGTACCTTTATAAATCACATGCCAGCTTTCCCTAGCCTCCTCCATCCAAAATAAAGTTAATGTCACTGTAATCAACTTGTAACACGTATAAATGCTACCCTTAGCAACATGAACCTTCCAAAGAGATGATGCAAACTGAATTTGGTAGATCTTTTATTATTCTTTCAATATACATTAGAGGGAAAGGTAGAATAAGAAGAAATTACATATTCATATTTACTTACTGTAAGTCAAATTTTTTACTGTCTCTAAATTAAATTCAGCTACTTTTTCCTCAATAATGTCCTCTTGACAGATGACCGATGGTTATGTACCCTAGCCTTGGTGTCAATGAACAGCACTTTCCTGTACCACCCCAAAATCGTTCCAAAGATCCCATAAATGTTCTTCAGAGCTAAGAACTCTAGAACTTAACCTACAAACCACTTAGACTAGTAGACGTTTTCACAGGGATAACTATATTTTAGGAAAAATTAATGGGACTTGTACAGGAATGCTATAAATCATATTATTTAAATAAGTGACCAATATGTACATGAATAAGGTTGATTGACATTGCGTTCTTACACATCCTGTAAAAAACCTCCTTAGCTCAATAGCAAGAGTCAAAGAAGTCAGAATTCAAGAATGATTAAGAATGGCATAGGAAACACAGACATTACCATGTCATAGCATTATTCTGCCACACACCCACAATACTGAAAACTGCCTGAAGTTCACTGAAAACGTAGTGGAAAAAAGCTGTCTCAGAGTAATAAAAGATACCACAAAAGTCAATATGGGTGAGCAACAGTTTTCATATGCAATTGGCTAAAACTCTTTAGCCTTTAGTGAGTGAGAGCACGAGAAAGAAGTGACAAACAGAGGCAAAGACCTAAGAGACTAATAAATGTGAAAAGGAGATGGTTATTCTCTATCTCTCACAAACACAGGAATTAGGCAATATATCTAATATCTGAAAATTTCATTTTAGAATAAAAAAAATTTTTCCGTGCTCTACAAACACTGTTATAACTAAGTTGTGAAACATATTGCTAGAGAGTATCATGGAGGCTGAAAGCACAAATGGACTCAAAAGATTAAATGAAGTCTGGTACAGAACTCCATCAGCTTCTATTAAGCATAATGACCTATTTTTTACGACGTTGTTCTCAGGAAAACCTAAACCACATTCTACCAGCAGCAAAGAAGTTAGCGGGAGTTAAAAAAACAGTCTACATTTACCCTGTCTTTCATATTTTTTCCTTAATTGTCCATTAGTGATGACGAGCAGGCACAGTCAAGTATATATACCCCTATGAACCTGATATATTCCACAGCAGCAATTGCATCCAGGATGCCAGATTTTCAGTCACATTGCAAAACTCAAGATATACAAAAAAAGACATGAAAATTTAAAAAAAAAAAAAAGCATCACATGTATTTCATTTAACAGTTCATCTGGTTTACTCTTTCCATATGTTTGCAACTGGATGTAGATACCTGTATTGACAATGCAACCTGAAGTACAAAAACATCAGTAACTACCATGTAGAAGAAAAGACTAAGAGGCTTTTTAATTTTTCTGATGTTAAGACAGCCCATTTGAAAGTGCAAGAAACACATTATCTATGGTTTTGTACTAAATGACAGACGTTGTACAAGCTATGATTGCTGTTATTTCAAACTTTCATATTTGACTGACATTTTGAAAAATGAACCAGTTCAGACATTTCAAGGTTACCTGTCAGAGATGACAGAGACTGCAACATTTTTCTTGCTTAAGTTCTCCCTGGATTTCACTGTTCTGGAATTTCTTTTTATATTCAGTATTTCTTTTCCTCCTCTTGTTTACGTCTTGAAAATATGCAGATTGATGGATAACAAAAATATACAGGAGAGGAAACTAAAAATGTGTCATAGTTCTATTCCTATAGTGGTTATTAAACAAGCTAAATATATATAATTTGAAATCCTAATTATAAGTTATATAACATTATATCTGAATGCTCTCCAAGTTCCTTTCCTTTCCTGTTTTTGTTATTTTACTATCCAAGACTAAGCGCTGTTTCAGGTGTATGTTTTGGAATTCTGGACATACAGTCAAGTTACCGTTTCAATTCACAAAACTAATTCAGTGCAAACTGCATTTTATTAGTGTTTCCCTAACACACTGCACTGCAAACATGAGTGTAAGCATTAGTCACACCATAATCACTTGCTGTTGCAGCAAGTTACACTTGTTCTAATAACTCTTTTTCCAGTCTGTAGAAATAACTTTTCTCCCACATCATGTCCCAAGTCATTCTTCTTTTCAAGTCCATCCTTTTTATTTAGCAAGTCCCAGTTTGCCATTCAAACTTTTACTCAAACTTCTCCCCATTCACAGAATGGGAAGTGAACTTACTTTTTTTCTTTTTATCTCTTTACTGCCCCTCAAGTAATGAACAAGCGCACAAACATTAATTTTACAAGTACACTAACTAGTTTTGCTCAAACTTTTAATATTCTCAGGTTAGGTAAAAACATGACACAACATATAGGGTAAGA